TCAAAACGTCAGAATTATCAAATGCCTTTGAGCCTTGAACATATCACATACTTTGATAATGTTAAAATTCATAAGTGGAAAGCTAGATTAACATTTTTAATTACGCCATAACTTGAAAACAAATGAAAATCGGATAAGAACATATGAGTTTTTTACATTATTTTCACGTGTATAATATAGTCCTAGAGTTTGGTGCGCTCCTCCCGACTCACCCTGTATAATTTACTACAAAGTTATTTACAAAAACGAACACAAATAGAATTAATAATATCTCAAGTAAGGAAATAAGTAGCATATCGCATGCCTCAAGATTCTGTCTTAGGTCCTATCTTGTTTAATTTTATTTTAAATAATTTTTCTTTTAAATACAGATGGAAATATTGTAAGTTTTTCAGACGACAGTTATTCTGTAAAATGCAGAGAACTGGAATTGAATAAAATTATTAATAGAAACAAATCTAATAAAAATTTTCAAATGGTAATTATAAAAACTTACAAACCTTTGATAAAACTTATGTTGTTCCATTATACAGTTACAAAAAGATGGCATCTTCCTATAGAAACAATAAAAGGTAACGTTCAGTAGTTTCATATAAGTATTATAAATGATATCAAATACCTTAGAGTACAAATTGACTCTCAACCACTGGACTAAGCATACAAATAATGCGTTGAATGTACATTTAAAAATAATCTATTTTGCACTCATAAAATCATTATTACGTTATAGGATCCTCTCTTGGAAAGGTGTTTTACCTGCTTATGCAAAATTGTCCTGCACAAAATATTACTCATAATATTATGTAATAAATTGATCAGAAATTCTCTTCGATATTAGGAAGTTTTATAGGTACTCCAACGAAACCTAATAAAAAAAAATCACAGCGGTGTTTCACCTAAATATAAGTATAGGATATTTAATTTTTTTTAACGCGCATCTATAAAATATATATTTATTTTTCAAACCTTAATAATTTGTAAAATGTAGATTAATAAAGACATTGTCATAATAAAGACGTAAAAAAGTCATTTTTTTTTAATACATTATTGCTTTGATTTTTCAAATGAAATCTCTCTATAAATTATCCCAAAAATATTTTCCTATATTTATCCCACCCAACATGTAATTTTAAAGTAAATTTGTATAATATGCAAATGAGAATTTATTATTTTCTTTTCTACGCTCCTTTATGACAGTACGTTATTGGTAGACCAAGGTCGTTTAGGATTCCTCCTTCCTGACTATATATATTCTAAGGTCAAAACCAACAACATTTTCATACTTTTATGAAGGCGCGGAAAAAGGATATTCGTTATTTTATTACAAAAATTATGTGTACATATATTTTGTAAGCATACAATGTATTAAATCTGACTGTGTAGAGACGTCTTAAAAGTGTAGAAAACTTTTTATTATCCTATGTGTGTGTGTGTGTGTGTAGGGGTGGGTGGGTGCGTGCAGGGGTGGGTGGGTGCGTGCGTGCGTACGTGGGCGTGCGTGTGTGCGTACATTAGAGTGTCTCAAAAAACCGACTATTTTTTTTTCCAAAGAACATTGAAAATTCGTCAGAGTTTCTCTAGAAAATGACCCTGTGAAAGTATGAGCTCTTAATATTAATATTTAGAGGTGGCGTTTTGTAATTTTCTATTTCCCATTTAAATAACATGGGAATTTTTTTTTTAAACTTTGGAATTTTGTAACGTGATAACGAGCTACTTTATTAGTATGACAAAATTACCCCTTATAGGAAATTTAATGCTCTACAAAAAAGGTCTGCGTAAATGCGTAAAAAAATTATTGTAGATTTTACTGCTAAGAAGTTAACTAGAAATGTATATCTTGTATTTAACTGTTATTACTGTTTAATCTATTAATAAGCCAATAAATCTGTTATTATTAATTAAAATAGATTATTGATACATAATATAAATAAATTTATAGTAAACTTCTACCAATTTTTTTAGGTAAGTGAATATTTTTTGCTAAAAATCAATAAAAATTTTCATTTATCAAATTATTAAGAATTTTAGATCTGCATTCCATCAAATATATGCATATATTTATTCTTAAGTTAATAATTTTGGGTTTTAAATACATATCAATTGATTTTTTTTTTATTTAAGAAAAAAAAAGCATACTTTTAAACATTCTGAAGTTTGAGGCTCGATATCTTTGAAACGGCTTGACTTTTTTACGCATTTACGCAGACCTTTTTTGTAGGGCATTAAATTTCCTATAAGGGATAATTTCGTCATACTTATAAAGTAGCTCGTTATCACGTTACAAAATAAACAAAGTTTCAAACATTTAAATGGGAAATAGAAAATTACAAAACGCCACCTCTAAATATTCTTAATAAGAGCTCATATTTTCACAGGGTTATTTTCTAGAGATACTCTGACGAATTTTCAATGTTCTTTTGAAAAAAAATCGTCGGTTTTTTGAGACACTCTGGCGTACACTTCGCGTCATATAAAAGTGGTACACTTATTTTTCCCAATGTAAAACCAACTTGATTTTTAAAAATGACAATTTGTCAGATTTGTCACAGCGCATTGTTACGATGCCAGCTTAATTAAGTAATTTTGATAAAATGAGAATAATTTCAAAAATAGAAGATGGTTGGTCTATTAGACAATTGGCCCAAGAGTATTGCAGAAGCAAAACGACAATTCAGAAGATTAAAAAAAAATCGACAACAATCAAACTGTGGACAGAAAAGGAGGGACTGGGAGACTAGTTATAACCACACCACAATAGGATGAAACCTTAACTAATTATTTAAGGGAACATCCCTTCAATACGGCAAGACAGGCGAAAGTTGACACAAATTTTAATGCTTCAGTAACAACAGCATTAAGAAGAATTAGAAAAACTGATTTAAAGAATTGTGTAGCAGCCCGAAAATACAAGCTTAGTGAAGTAAATAAGCAAAGTAGAGTTATATTTGCCTTAAATTATGTTTTAAATGATACAATACATTTTTGGGGTCGGGTAATTTTTTCTGACGAAAAAGTGTTCTAATCACATCATGATGGCCGTATTCGAGTTTATAGACCGCCTCGAAATAGATTTAATGAAAATTATATTTGAGGAGCATTCACGCAAAAGTAAACAAATCCATTTTTAGCACAAACAGAGATTGATATTGCATCATGTAGACCTCGATCATCTCTATGAAATTCCATGCCCTTTTTTAACCAAAAGTACACATATCCTTGTATAATGGTGTGGTGAAATCAGGAATTTCAACCAAAGAATAACAAATCCGTAAGTTATTAATTTTCATCAATTTCAGCGGAATTTCTCTCAAAAAGTATCAAATCCTTGCAGAAAATACGAACGTGATGTCATAACCCATGCAAAAGTGAACAAATCCAGAGGTAGTTCAGAACTGCCTAATAAATATCATACTTTATAAATAGTGTGCAATCTTGTATTCAACAACGTAAATAATGGTTGATGCACGTTCTCTAAATATGTTTTAGCGCTGCAAACTATTCAGCGATTTTGGGTAATAGCCTTAGGCAACGATAGAGACGCCGACGCCTGCAAACATATTTTACTATTGCGTCAGCTAGAAGTGTTTGGAGTATTTTACTACTCACTCTGTTTTGTCGAAAATAATGGGAGGGATCCCGTTTTCTATTCGCGATTCAAGTTAAGTGATACGCCCTCTGGAGGAAATTTGTAGATGGTCCCTATAAAGTAGGATATCGTTTCAGTATTGCCAGAAGTAGCAAAAATTCGCTGTGTCGTCGGATTTTAACTCTTGAAGAAGTGTAAGACCTTTTATTTAAGAATCAAAATGTGTGTCTAAGTAATATGTAATTATACTTTATATTTATTTATCTTATATACATTATATTTATAAGGATTTTTTTATAAAATCGATTTATTATATTGATTTTTTTTTAAATTTCAGTTCATTTATTAAATTTGTTTTAAAATCAGTTCATCATTTGGCAACATTGGCGTTCGTGTTCATTGTTTACATTTTAATTTATATCAATTACAATTCGAGTTTTTAGTTACTTTTTAGCTTTAAATTTGTTTATTTCTTATAGTATGTGATAGTGTTTATATTAAAAATGAAATTTGCGAAAAAATCCCCAGCAAATTGCAATCTATATGGTGTTAATGTCAAAATCAAAACTGAAGTATTCATTTTCTAAGTACAAGTCGTAAAATTTTGTTTCTTATGATAAATGGATATCTACAAATTCACAATATTGAAATTTTGCAAAACTTTGTTTGGAATCAAACTGTAATCTGAGTTGTAACGGTTTTATTAGCATTTATATGTATACAAAGTACTACACAATTCACTTATTATTATAAGAATGAGGATAGAAAGATTTTTAAATAAGTTCATCAATAATAAACCTGTGGTACCTGAAATGTCCTTTAAACCACATAATAAAACATGTCCTGCGTTTAATGAATACATATTTCTAGATGTTCTTGTAGCAACCAATAGGTGAATATTTCCAACAAATTAAGTCATACACATGATAAATATTATATTTATGACGAAAGCACGAGACTTAAACTTAAATTAACACTAAATGAAACTCAAAAACACTATTACAATGAGAATATTATCTAAAAACAGTTAAAAAAATCACAAATACAAAATCCGCCCAAAACAAAAACATGTAAATAAACAAACATCCTACTTATAGATGACAAATGACAGGCGCGCGAAAATTAATTTGAATCGCCAATACTTGGACAGAGGACTAAGCCGGCAGGGGCTGCACAGAAGTTGACTCAGTACTGTTTAATTTTTTAGAAAACGTTGAAATTGAGCAAGACATATTAGAGTTGCGTTTATTTTGTGACGGCTGCAGCGCTCAAAATAAGAATGCTCATATAACTCATACATTATTATTTTGGCTGAAACAAACTACAAAAAATATAAAATTTTACTCTAATATTTCCTGCCAGGGGCCATAGTTTTCTACCAGTGGATAGAATATTCGGTAGGGCAGAAAAAATGTTACGAAAAGAGGCCAGTATTAAATATAAAGAGCAATACCACGCACTGTATAAAGAATTAGGGAAAATGGGGGTGTTGGGTGTTGATTGGATGTTCTATAACATCAAAGGGCTGGAAGAGATTTATCGAAAATTTCCAGGCACTAGTGCAATAAAAAAAATTCACCTAAAGTTAATGACTGACATATTTCAAAGTCTTGGCAAGCGAGGACGTTCTTCAAAAAATTATGAATTTGAACAGTTACCTTTAGTACGCCACTTACCACCTGAAAAAGTCACCAATGTTAAAAGTCTTTTAAAGGCGGAATTTAATGATGACTGGCGGGCAGATCCCGAACTAGCCTGGTATAAAATTATCATTGATAGCAATATTGAAAACGCTACATAGATGGTAGAAGACAACGCTGAAGATGTAGAACAGGCAATTGGTTGTGACTGTTTATGTGAAAAAGATCCTGCGATTCACCTTTAATGTTCATGGTATTTTCCCAAGTAGGGTTACTTATAAAATTAGTTTTTGTTTATTTGTAACGTTTTTCTAAGTTGATTTATTAAATATTTTTCTGTTTAAAACGGCTTATATTATATGTAAGTCAAAAGAGAACAAATCCAACAGGCTGGTCAAGCAAAACAGTACAAATCCTCACATTTACAGCAAAAGTAAACAAATCCATATCATATATCGAAAAAACTCCTATAATATTTTAGCAAAAAAACAAACATTGTAGCATATTTTCTAATATTAAAAAAAAATAACAAAAAAAAAATCAAATTTTTTCCAAAATTGTGGCTACAGCGAAAAATATGCATAATTAGTTCAAATGGATTTGTTTACTTTTGCGTGAATGCTCCTCATTTCTTTAAATGATGTCCGGACGATTCTCTATAAATGTTTGGGCTTGGATGTATAGAGGAAGTTTAGGAATGTGTTGGAGAATCGAAGGAAGATTAAATGCGATGAACTATATAAACATTTTAGATAATGTAATGTTGCGGTTAGGGAAATCTTCCCCAACAATAATTTTATTTTCCAGCATGATAATTGCTCAGTACATACCGCTTACCGTGTATGCGATTATCTTGCTGAAAATAATATTGAAACGCTTCTATGGGCCTCTAAAAGTCCAGATATGAATCCGATCGAAAACGTTTGGGGACTTATGGTCAAAAAATTACAAAAATTAAATGTAACTCCTCGAAACAAAGAACATTTATGGAGCCTTATTCAAGAAACCTGGGAAAGCTTGGCAGAAGAGGAAAATTTATCAATAAATTTAATCAATTCAACGCCCAGAAGATTAGAAGAAGTTATAAATAATAATGGAGCTATGACAAGATATTAATCTATTTATTTCTTATGTTTCGAATTATCTTATGTATTTAAATTTCACGCTTATTAATTATAAATATTTAAGTTATTCTTTTTGCATTAATGTTGAAATACCTTTTTACTTTCCTATCTGTATACAGATATAAGGAATGTATAGGAATCATGATTTTTTTCGACCTCGAGTTTTAGAAGGATTTTTACGTTTTGAGGTCCCCTGAATCAGTTTTGACTATTTTCGGGATGATGTCTGTGTGTGTGTGTGTGTGTCAGTCTGTGTGTGTGTGTGTCAGTCTGTGTGTGTGTGTGTGTCAGTCTGTGTGTGTGTGTGTGTGTGTGTATGTGTGTGTGTGTGTGTGTGTGTATGTGTGTGTGTGTGTGTGTGTGTGTGTGTGTGTGTGTGTGTGTGTGTGTGTGTGTGTGTGTGTGTGTGTGTGTGTGTGTGTGTGTGTGTGTGTGTGTGTGTGTGTGTGTGTGTGTGTGTGTGTGTGTGTGTGTGTGTGTGTGTGTGTGTGTGTGTGTGTGTGTGTGTGTGTGTGTGTGTGTGTGTGTGTGTGTGTGTGTGTGTGTGTGTGTGTGTGTGTGTGTGTGTGTGTGTGTGTGTGTGTGTGTGTGTGTGTGTGTGTGTGTGTGTGTGTGTGTGTGTGTGTGTGTGTGTGTGTGTGTGTGTGTGTGTGTGTGTGTGTGTGTGTGTGTGTGTGTGTGTGTGTGTGTGTGTGTGTGTGTGTGTGTGTGTGTGTGTGTGTGTGTGTGTGTGTGTGTGTGTGTGTGTGTGTGTGTGTGTGTGTGTGTGTGTGTGTGTGTGTGTGTGTGTGTGTGTGTGTGTGTGTGTGTGTGTGTGTGTGTGTGTGTGTGTGTGTGTGTGTGTGTGTGTGTGTGTGTGTGTGTGTGTGTGTGTGTGTGTGTGTGTGTGTGTGTGTGTGTGTGTGTGTGTGTGTGTGTGTGTGTGTGTGTGTGTGTGTGTGTGTGTGTGTGTGTGTGTGTGTGTGTGTGTGTGTGTGTGTGTGTGTGTGTGTGTGTGTGTGTGTGTGTGTGTGTGTGTGTGTGTGTGTGTGTGTGTGTGTGTGTGTGTGTGTGTGTGTGTGTGTGTGTGTGTGTGTGTGTGTGTGTGTGTGTGTGTGTGTGTGTGTGTGTGTGTGTGTGTGTGTGTGTGTGTGTGTGTGTGTGTGTGTGTGTGTGTGTGTGTGTGTGTGTGTGTGTGTGTGTGTGTGTGCGTGTGTGTGTGTTGAAACTTAAGCTTTATTTCGGCCTGCGGTAAACTAATTAGATTTTGGACAGAGTCGGAACATTTGGGGGGGTACTTTACTGGTGGTCATTGTTATATTTTATGGAATATATTCGTTATTTACGTTTGAAGAAGAAACTTCTTCAAATAAAAGTTACTTGCAATATTATTATCTATAATTTTTAATCTATATAAAATTTTCCTAAAATAGTCCGTATTCGAGAAATTTGACAAAATGTAAAAAAATTAATTTTTTATAAAAATTGTTCAAATAAAAGTTGTTTGTAGTATAATTCTCTATAATTTTTACTCCATGCATAATTTCTCTAAAATGAACCGTATTCGATATATTTGAGAAAATGTGTAAATTTCGAATTTTGAAGAAAACTCAAAAACGGAAAAAGGCAAAAACATTAAATTTTAAACTTAAGTTTTATTTCGGCCTGAGGTGAAATGATTAGATTTTGGGCGAAGGCGAAACATCTGGGGGGGGGAGGTACTTTATGGGAGGCCGTTTTTATATTTTATGGAATATATATTATAGAAAAATGTGTCGAGTTAGATGTATGTGGAAAATGTATATATTTAGTTTATCCTCTAAACATTTATAGAGGTGCTGCAATAGGTTGTACAAAATAACCGGAAAAGGCCTATAATAACTAGATAGGAAAGTCATGTGTTGGACACATCAGATTTTTTATTTTTCCAGTACGTTTTATTTCTTTACAAAATTTATTTACTTCTACAAATATTTTCGTTGTGCTGGCAACATTGTCCTAAAATGTATAGCCTATAAAATACTTTAACATAGACACATTCTAAAAGATCAATTTACACAGCTCGAAAAACACGATTTTACGTTATAAGACTTGTCACTTTTATATGACGCGGAGTGTACATGCGTGTGTGCGTATGTGTGTCTCTGTATCCACGATAACTCATGAACGGATACAAAGAAACACACCAAATTGTAAACTTAAGCTTTATTATCACATACTTTGATTTTCTTTTACTATACGGAGAATGGTCGCACTGCGCAGCTTTCTGAGTGCCTTTTAAAAGGAGATAGAAAACTCCGCCATTTTGAACCCTTATTACGTGTTGCCTACATCTTGGCGCAATAATTTTAATAGGTGCGTTTTAATCATCCGCTTCTGCTTCGGAATTAACGGTTTTCTTGTTTTAATGTGACAGGTTAAAACGACTAAACCGACAATTCCGGAAGCAGAAGCGGATGATTAAAACGCACCTGATATTTTGGTTGCTGCTGTCAGTGTCAGTGAATATTATTTTTGAAGTCACAGTTTATTGCTAAAGAATCAGTTAGCTCACTCGGACCAGTGGAAAGTTCCAAAATAACATCCACCCCAGGGATACAAATTCAGGATACGCAAAAGTCTACTGTTTTATTATAGGCGGTTGTCATATATTGTATTATCCGAGTTGCACAGTGTATAAACTGAAACATTGAGATCAAAAGTACCGACGCAGAGTGAGCGATCTGATTCTTTAGCTGTAAACTGTGTCACAGGGTTCAAAATGGACGCGCTCTATGTTGGGCGTGTCGGACCTCTCTCTTGCCTCGTATAGTAATCAAAGTATGTGTTTATTATGGTCTGCCGAGAAATGATTAGATTTTGGGCAGAGACGGAACATCCGGGGAGTACTTTATAGGGAGTCATTTTTATATTTTATGAAATATATCTGTTATTTATGTTTAGAGAAGAAAATTCTTCAAATAAAAGTTACTTCTTATATTATTTTCTATAATTTTAGTTCCATACAAAATTTTCCTAAAACGGTATTCTTGAAATTTGATAAAATGGTAAAAAATCAAAATTTTATGAAAATTGTTTAAATAAAAGTTGTTTGTAATATAATTCTCTATAATTTTTGTTCTAAATATAGTTTTTTTTAAAATAGAGCGCATTCGAGATATTTGAGAAAAAGTGTAAATTTCGAATTTTAAAGAAAACTCAAAAACGAATAAAAAAAACACAATTAATTTTCAACTTAAGCTTTATTCCGGCCTGAGGTAAACGGTTTAGATTTTGGACAGAGTCCAGAACATCTGGGGGGTACTTTATAGGAGGTCGTTTTTTTATTTTAAAGAATATATTAGTTATTTTTGTTTGGAGAAGAAAATTGTTCATATAAAAGTTACTTTTTATATTATTCTCTATATTTTTTGTTGTATAATTTTTTTTTCTAAAATAGTCTGTATTCGAGAAATTTGCAAAATTTCAAATTTCAAATTTTTAAGAAAATTGTTTAAATAAAACTTGTTTTGTGAAAAAATTCTCTATAATTTTTGTCCTGTACATAATTTCTCTAAAATTGACCGTATTCGAGAAATTTGTGAAAAATTGTAAATTTTGAATTTTGAAGAAAACTCAAAAACTGAAAAAAAAATTCTTTAAATAAAAGTTACTTCTAGCATTGTTGTCTATAATTTTTATTTTATACAAAATTTTCCTAAAATGCTCCGTATTCGAGAAATTTTTCAATATGTAAAAAATTTTGATTTTTAAGAAAATTGTTGAACTAAAAGATGTTTGCTATATCGATCTCTATAATTTTTGTTTTATTCTAAGCTTAGCGCACGCGAGTCGAGGCGCTCCTATCGCTGTGCAGGACCGTACCTGTTTATAATTTTTAATTATTTTTATTTTAAATATTTTGGAAAAATGAAATCTGCGAATCGGTCTCAAATTATGCGAACTCCACACCTACAAATTTGGACGCCAAGTTCGGAAACACCCTGTATAGAAAAATGTTTCGAGTTAGATGTATGTGGAAAATGTATACCGGGTGTTAAAATTAAAGTGTTACAATT